GACCAACGTCCGAGAAAACCGAGTCCGAAAATGTCCGAGCCATCTCGCCCAGCGCGAGACGACCAGAGAAAGCCCCACCATGATTTACGATGATGATGTGTCCTGGAACGCGCGCGCATCTCCAACAGCAGCAGCAAAACAACAACAACAACAGCAGCACATACCCCAAAAGGCAGCTGCAAGATGTCCTGCAGCCCCCCAGCCCACACTCATCCTGGGGGTAGCTTTACATATTTTGGGCCAAAAGAATTCCGCCAGATGACCCTCTGGAATGCAATCGTTTGTTTGGATTTGCCAGTTGTGCTGCAAAACAAAACAAAACAAAACAAAACAACAAGGCTTTACCAAGGAAAGCGATGCTGTTTCTTGAAAAGTGATGTTTTCTTGAAATGAAAATGATATGCTCCTTAATTTTATAGAATAAATTGAGTCCAATGAAGATCATTGGAAAATTAAAGCAAATAATGGGCACAAAATAATTAAATTGGGTCTATGGTGGGATATTTCCTTGAAGATCATTTAACAAGGAAAAGCGATGACTGTTTTCTTGAATTTTTGATAATGAAATGAATGAAATGATATGCTCCTTAATTTTATAAAATTGGGTCTATGGTAATGAAAATCATTGAAAATTATAGCAAATATGGGCACTAAATAATAAAATTGGGTCTATGGGAAATTTCCTTGAAGATCCGGCAAAAAGAAAAGCTTTTTTGTAGTTTTAAATGTGACACTAAAACTCTAAAGAATATTTGAAATCTTTAAGCAAACAAAGAAGAATTCCTAATAATACGTGTCCTGTCTACTACTCTTCTTTTTATTGATAAAAGAAATAAATAAATAAAAAATAAAGAAGTATAATTAATATTCAAGTTAGTTGAGGCAAAAAAATCGCTGCTTAAAAATATATAATAGAAACATTACAAATTTTTCTTTCTTTTTTGTACACCACTTGATGAATCACTTCCTCCACAATCAACCGAATTACATGGAAATGTTCGCTATATTTTGTGCATATTTTTATGAGTATTTTGCTCTATTTTCAATGCACAAAAAACCCACAATGGGAAATGGGCAGGCCCAGAGATGCATTCCATAATTGTGATTACTTTTTGTGCTGTGACAATGTTGTTGGACTCCTTTTTTGCTGTTGATAAAAATTTACGATTATTGTTTTCACATTTTTCATGTTTTTGTCAAATATTAAAAACATTATTTTTCACACGAATTGGCGTCAATGGATGGATACGCCACACATATCGGCGATGTGTCCAAGAGGATGTGTGTCTCTCTGAAATTTTATTGAAATTCGCTGATGGAATCCGAAACGAAGAGAACACGAAAAAAAAAAATAATAACTGAGAATTGCAGCGGGTAAAATCGCATTCAATCGGTCGCCAGAAACATTCGCCACTCATAACTCAGAGCCGTTCGGCGCCAGGACAGGACCAGGACCAGGACCCAGCAAACAGAACCAGAACCCAGGACCCAGGACAGGACATCCATGGACATGGACACAAATCCATTGGGCGATGGTCGACGCTGGCATTCCCATTGTTGGTTGGGCGAGGATTCGGCTCGGGGACAATTGTCAGGCAATAAATCGATGTGTGTAGGGCTGTAAATTTTTGGCGGATGGCCGATGAAAAAGTGCATATTATGCAATTCGACAATACGCCAAACATGTCGACCTACGCATAACCGCCATTCCCTTTCCACTACCCCTAGCCCTAGCCCTACCCCACTCGATTCCCCATTGCAGCGGAAACGGAAACGCGCACACAAGTTCTTCTCTTCTTCATCTTTGGCTCTGCCAGTGCCACTGGCTCTGACTGTTGCTGCTGCTGCTGCTGCTGCTGCTGCTGCTGCTGCAACAACGCTTTGCATATCAATGAAAATGCATAAATTTTTATTCGCCCTCAATTTTCACGCTATTTTTTATTGTTGTTGTTCTGTTGCACTACCGACGCTTGCATTGCCCAATCCTGTCGTCCATCAAGAGGCATAAATCAGTTTGGAGGTAGCAGCCAATCCAACAACAAAAACGCGTAGCTGCCACCCGGAAGCTGGCCGAATACACACACACAAAAAAAATCCTCCACAGTTCTTTTCGGGAGGCAGCCATTGACGAAACGTAATCCTTGCTTGGGTTGGTTGGGAAAAAAACAGCACCAAAGCAAAAACATTGAAAATCCATAAAAATGCATCATAATTTCCTGGACACAGTCCGTGCCGTGCCGTGCCGTGCAGCTGTGCAACTGGAACTGGATCATCATCAGGGTATGCGTAACAGCCAACTGGCTAACAAAAAAAAAAATATTGGAAATTGGTAGCACGAGAAGAGCGGAAGTGTCAGCCAACAAAGCCCCTAAACGAATTGTGAAAAAATCTACACATATTAGGGGTAGTCAATATTTGTTTTGGCATGGAAATCTTGTCAAGGAAAATGTTTTAATTTGTGGATTTTTTTGGGTTTGTTTTTTATACGAATTTTCGGTAGGTCTCTGAGATATTTTCTTTATATAAATTAGAATTTTTGTAAATTGATTTGGGTAAGAATTTTACACCCAAAAGCTCTTAAACTTGCATTGATTTCTAGTCCTCATATTTGTACCTTTAAAACAACATTGACTTACCCCAATGCGCATCATTTACATGCAACATGCCCCACACTTGAGGCCTTATATGACCTGCCCGGGGGCTGGCTGCAACAGTGGCTGGCTGCCCCATCAAAAAGCCAACAAACAGTACGTAGAAAGGGTCTCTGGCTCTGGCTCTGTCTCTGCCTGACTGCAGCCTGACTGCTGCGTTAATAGATTTGCAGTGCCTCAATACCTGTACTGTGTGTGTGTCCTGCGCGTATCCTGTGGCAGCGAACCCATACCAAATGATTGCATATAATCACAGGATGCTCCAGTGATGGCGGCTCGGCCGCTTTTGTTGTACTTTTTCTTGGCCAAAAAGTGGCCGTAAATTTTACTTCATTCATTCGGTGCCACAGGACAGCAGCAGCCAGCAGCAGCAGCAGCAGCAGCGAGATCCTGTGCACAATTTTTGAGTGCATTCGATGCGATATGTTGGCGGCCTGTCCACATGTCAGCCTTGCATTTATTTATTGAATTATGACTCTTGAGAGAGCCACACAAAAGGTACAAACAAACGGGGATTGTAAATGAAATACGGCCAAAAGAATGATGGAGAACATTGCAGCAGGCTGTGGAGCAGGCTGTGGAGTGAAAAATGAAGCATGGGGTAAATGGCTTTGTTTAGGAATTTAAATTTGAAAAGCTGAAAGATTTTGTTAGAGCGGGGAAAAAATTCCCATTAGGTTCCCCTACACCAGATCTCTCATTGCAATCTCTTGCAGCCAACGGATCTTAATTTGTTTCAAGCACTGTTTGTACTCTATGTACAAAGTCAACACTCGGCGAGGTGCTGGCAGATGAAAGAAGCGCAGCAGCAGCCGCAGCGGAGAAGCAGCAGCAGCAGCTGGCTTCTCTTCTCCAAGATTTTACACAATTTATGCAAATATTTGAGTCGGCGCTGGCTTTTTAATTGTTTCTAATTTCAAATGTTGACACGAAGCCCACACACACACACACACACACACACACACATCTGTCCCGCTAGGAGACTGTGTCCAATGCGCTATCTCGCTGTTGACACACACCCATACCCCATACCACTTGGGTGTAGTTTTAGTTGGAAGATGCGTTCCATTTAGCCGAGTAGTTTTCTTTTCTTTTCTTTTCTTTTGTTCAGCTGCCGTCACGTTTTTTGAACAAAGATCCACATTTTAATTAACCAAGTGGCAGCAGTGGCAACAGCAGTGGCAGCAGTGGGAGGCAGCAGCACTGCGCCGCTAAACAAAGTTTTTGAATAGATTTAACTCTGCGGAATTTACTATTTTCTAACTCAACCTGTTGACTTGGCACGCGATTGCTGTGGGCCAACAACAAGCACTTCTGCGTTGCGGTGAACTTCTTAGAACTCTTTGGCTACATTGTTTCTCACATTTGGTACATTTTGGTAGTGTGTCGTTTGTTCTATGATTTCTGTGTAATTAGCTGTTTGATCCCTTTCCAAGGGCGGTTTCCTTTGGAACATTTTTTGATGTTATAAGATTGAATCCACAATAAAGATAATTGTTTACAATAAACCTACATAGAGAGCCTAAACAAACAAAAAATAATAAAGAAAAAATTAAAATAAATATTTTCTCATTGAAATGTCGTTATTTTGTTGATGAGTACGTGCTGTGAGCTGTCGGGCTTGAATAAATTCCACAAAATAAGTCCGAACGCGAATTCGTTTAGACTTAAAAACTTGGCTTTATTCTAGACAAACATTCAAGCGGCGAAGGGTTATAAAACATATACACAAAATTAGCAAGGGCGTTGCACTATAATGATATGTTCAGTTTGCTCTCCAGTTCACTCTCGCAACGAGCGAAATAACTAAGCGCTGGAATGCATTCGATTTAAGAGCGGCTAGCGAAAATAGCTTATTGCCAGCGGCAGCTCCGAACAGTACCGCCGATTTTCCGCATGATTACGCCAGATTTTCGAATAATTTTCACATTTTAATAGCTTTTGAGCATAAGGGTTAAAGTTCAAGGCAGTTGAAAGGCAGTTGGTGACCCCAAAACATAGAAAATATAATTTAAATCTTCTAAAAAACATTCTCAAATATAGAGAAGTTTTCTAGCATCCAATGTTGTAGTTTTTAAGAAGAATATTCCAAATTTTCGTACCCTAAACTCCTTAGATACTAAAAATCAAAACCAAAATTAGTTTGGTGACCCCAATCCATGACGGAAAAGTTTCCCAAACCACTAAATATTTATTTTATGTACAAAAATCTCCCACAACTATTTGTTTCAGTGTGAAAATACTTCACGCTTTGTTGTCCACAATTCGTCACATTCCGATGGACAGATAAAGCCCTCCCAAATCGATCCGTAGCTTTAGCTTTGTTTCTCTGGCAGAGTCAGTTCTGTTTTCAACTCGAAATGAATCACTCACGCGTGCTGAGGGCCACAAATATTGTGCTGCTGGTGTCGGGCTATCAGATTTATTGGCTGGACTCGAAGACCCAGCGTTTCCGATTATCCCTGCCTGGCATTGTCCATATCTTGGTGCTGGCAGGCATTTATGCGGCCTGCATTGCCCAGCACTTTGATGCCACTTCATCGATGTTAACGATTCTGCAGAATGTATCCAAATTTCTGCATGGACTGACCAGACTGCAGTTGCTGCTGGGTGTCAAGGTGTTTGTCTATGCGGTATACTCATCCGTCAGAGCTGTGGGTGTCATCAACCCACTGTTGGAGTCGCTGGCTGGAAAGGCGGCGAGTGGATTTCGCAAAGAAGAGGCCATGGCCTATGCTCTGTTGGTATCCACTTTTGGAGTGCTCCTCTGCTTTGGCTTCTACATTGCCTACGAAATGAAATTCGAGTTGCCGCCACTTCAGGATGCCATGATTGGAACGGCCCTCTTTATGCCACATCTCTGTCTGGCCGGATCCCTAAGATTGTACAACATTTTGGCCTGGCTAACGCGTGACAAGTTGAAGGAGATCCAAGCGAATGTGGAGGAAGCACTTGCTGTTAATGGCAAGAAAGATGAGCTGGAAATGGCCTGCACATCCTTGACGGTGTCCGTCAGTAATTCCAGTTCGGACAACCTCGAGAGTCTGCGGCAACAATTGCAGCTCCTTGGCAGCCGATTCGGTGACTTCTTCAAGGCCATGCAGCACTCTCTGTTGTTTCTGGTCACCATGAATGGCAATTGTCTGCTGTTTGGTATCTATTCGTACATTTACTATAGAAATACCTGGCATGTGCTCTTTGAGGATCGCAAACGTAGGATTTTCTATGCGGCAAATGCTTCCATTTATGCCTGCATTGCTTGTGATTACTTGTGTTTACTTTTGGTACAGTTCTTAATGGAAAAAGAGGTGAGAAATGTACTTGGGAATATTCTCTGGAAATTTCTCTGATTAATTTCAACTTTCTTACAGCGCCTTGGAATGCTTAAAAGTCTTGAATCCTTTTTAATTCAACGAAATTCTCTGTCCAAACGCATTCGCTCTCTAGCTAAGGATATTAAGGGTACTCTCGCAAACACTTTCCAGCACAAATTTCTCTGCCTGTGGCGCTTTGATGTTCTGCATTTCGTTTTGGTAAAGTCTTAAAATTTTATAAAATTTTAGCCAATATTTTTAAATAATTTTTCTTTACAGCTGCTCTTCTTTCAAGGTCTTATATTTGCGCTCATTGTGATGTATCATTTTTTGAGTGATGAAATATTACAGTTGCGCGAACAATTAGATTCCTCTGATGAATAAATAATTTAGCTGAAATTTCAAGCTTAGGTTAAGTCAGTGATTTGTGCTACGTAATTAGATATATCCACTGCACAGTGCCGACTGTCTATCGTTCTTTGGGCCAACAACTCCATATTAATTATCTTCATATGCAACACTTAATCTATAAATTTATCCGCTTGCCTGAACCAAACTGTCTGGGGCAACAAATCACGATTAAGATGCCAATAAAATGGGGCTCCGGGATGGCCAATCAAAGTAAAATGTTTGCGGCCTTCGTTAGAGATGAGGCAACTTAATAGAAATCACCATAAAACTAAGCAAAATATTGATAATAATGGAAATATATATGTTTCAATCAATAAATGAATTAAAAATATAAATAATAATTGGAAAATATATTTTGTAATTAATTAAAAATATAAATAATTGGAAAATATTTTTTGTATTAATTAAAAATATAAATAATAATTGGAAAATATATTTTGTAATTAATTAAAAATATAAATAATAATAGGAAAATATATTTTGTAATTAATTAAAAATATAAAAAATAATTGGAAAATATATTTTGTAATTAATTAAAAATATAAATAATAGAATTGTGATTAATTAAAAATATAAATAATAATTGGAAAAACTATTTTGTAATTAATTAAATGTAAAGGTGGAAATACATACATAAGTTAATGGTGATTTATCTGGTGAATTTATATTAATTTTTTTCTTGTGCAGAGCCCGGAAATAGTGCTTTTACATTTCTTTTTCTTTTGATTAGCACTATAAAAAATTTAATATGCTCGTATATGTATGTATGTTGTTTTGTTTCCAAATGTAGAAAATTATTGAATTCAAAATAAATATTTGGTGCCACTACTGGCGCTGTGGAACATTCTCCAAGTGCATGAAATCTGTAAAAACCCTCCCAGATTGATATATAAAATAAATTTTATATCTGAATAAATGTTAAATGATTTCCTTTAATGGCAGAGATTGAATGAGAGTAAGAGATAATCTTTAGGGGAATTATAGCAAGGGGCTTGAGTTTGGAAAACATTTGAATTGATGGTATTTTGTTAGCTAGCCCGTGTTCTGGTTACTTCTTTGGCTTCTTCTTTTCGAGCTCCTCTTCCTTCTCCTTCTCTATGATGTTCACATACGCCTGTATGGCTGCCCGGTCCAGCATCTTTAGCGGCTTGTTGTGCTCCATGATGGCCACCTCCAGGTTGTTCTGGCCCGTTTGGGCCACCAGAAGCAGCGCGCGCACGGCCAGCTTGACGGCACCTTGCTCAGAGAGCACCTCTTCGTCGCGATAGTACTTCTCGAAGTATTCGCGCACAGTCTGGGACAAACGGCCCGTGGCATTGGCCTTGTATTCATAGAAAATACCCGAGGGCTCCGTTTGGTACAAATGCGCCGTGCCATCGCCATCAAAGCCGCCAATCAGACAGGAAATACCAAAGGGACGCCGACCATTGCTCTGCGTGTACTTCTGCTTCAGCTGGGCAATGTAGCGCGTGATATACTCCACCGTAACTTGATCCTCGACATTCAAGCGATGGCTCTGGCACTCCACTTGGGCACGATTAATCAGAATACGCGCATCCGCAGTGAGTCCCGCAAATGCCATCACAATGTGCTGGTCGAGCAGGCAAATTTTGCGCACTGTGCGATCCTCCTGCAGCTTGGCCACCGAACGTTTCTCCACGGCCAGCACAACGCAGCTGCCGCCGCGCACACCAACCTAAGGAAAATAATTGAAAGTGCATTTAGCATGCGAAAATGCTGGAAAAATGGTGAGTTATACCGCGGTGGAGCCCTTGCGTACAGCCTCTTGGGCATATTCCACCTGCAGCAAATGTCCGTCAGGCGAGAAAATGGTAACAGCGCGATCGTAACGCGAAGACATCTTTAAGGATTATTATTTAAAATTAATATAAAGTTTGCTGAGTTGCAGGCGTCACATCCAGGCTTTTTTCACGAATAATGAACTAGTTCGGTTCGGTTCTCTCTGGTTCTGCTAAGCAACACTGGTTTGCAACACTGTTTTTCAGCATTAACCCACTCATGGCCAATACCGGAAAATGTATGAGACAATTAAATGTACTAGAAATAGTAGTAGAAATAGTCGTAGAGTGGTAGAAAAAGGCGTAGAAAATATATGTAAAAACTAGGTGAAATAGGAGTGGAACAATTTTAAAAAGGAAATACGTTAAATGAATCCTAGAGTGTACATTCGTCATCAAAGCGACTAGTTTTTGGATGATTGCCTCTTTCTGAGCCCAAACCCACCATAACACTCTTTCCAACGTGCCAGCAGTGTATATGGTAGAGGAGAGATCTCAGAACCGAGATGGGTTGGATATATAGATCGGCGAAGCAGGACAAGTCCGGTTGCTGGGATTGAGCGGGTGAAGTTCATAATGAGCTCCTGGTCCAATGGCAAGTGCATTTTAAATATTTTTAAATTTAAATTTTAAATATTTGAATATTTTTAAATTAAAATTTTAAATATTTAAATATTTTTAAATTTAAATTTTAAATAATATTTAAATATTTTTATTTTTAAAAAATAATTTTTAATAAATTTTAAATTTTAAATAATATTTTAATATTTTTAAATTTAAATTTTAAATAATATTTAAATGTTTTAATGCTATTTATTAACTATATAGTTACCTTTTATGCCAACCAAATCAAGCTCTTAGCCCATCACTGATTTACAAATACACAGCCGAGTGTGTGTGGGCTGTGGGATAAACTCCGCCTAGCCACTGTGGATAACAACATGCAAAATGCCGGCAAATGAACATAATTCGTGTTGGGTGAAAATCTACATAATATTTACTATGATGCCAGGCGGGCAGGCACACACACACACACAACCACCCACACAGACACACACACACACACACATTCCCAGCCACTGACTGCCCCAATGGCTGTGTGCCTTGTGCCATGCATGCAACTCTGTGGAGATGCTGATGAGCAGATAAATTCATTAGGCAAAAACCATGTAATTGTTCCACCAGGGCAACGACGACGCCGACGACGACAAGGACTCTGGCAAACAGGAGCAGGAGCACAAGCCCAAGCAAGGATGCGGATGTGGCGGACATTTGGCTCAGCTGGCAGCAGCATTGCAACTGGCAAAAGGCAACGGCAACCCAGACGACCGCAGATCTTAAGTTTTGCTTTGCAGGCAAGAGAGACAGAGAGAGAGAGACAGAGAGAGAGAGAGTGCTGGGAGTCACGAAGCGTTACTAAATACAAATTAAACAAATCCATAAATAATGTTTAATAATATTAACAAGGATATTAGCAGAGCAGAGCATACACCCACACACAGAGAGTGTGAGTGAGAGAAAGCAGCTACAGATGCGCTCTTGGTTATGGTTGTTCCTGTTTTGAGTTTCTGCCACCTTGCCACCTCCTGTGCTGTGCTGTGCTCTCCTCCTTGTTGCTGTTCCTACGTAGTCCTTTGTGTGGTTTATGGGTATGTTGTCTGCTGCCACCTGGGCCGTAGTCATACACGGCTGTTTACACGGCCTGCATCCTGCCAGTCATCATCGTTATGGATTTCTTATTCTTTGCTTAAAATTCTCATTCGAAAGCTACAAAAATCGTTTGGGTTTTAGCTGCGGTATCTGGCCTCCGTTTTAGCTGCTAATTTCAGCTTAAACTGGCGCATTCTTTTCGCTGCCCCAATTTTCTCATTCAAACGCGCCAATTGCATTTGTAAATACTTTTTGCGTGCCGGTGCCGGTCCCGGTCCGTCCGCTTGTGGTGTTGTCGGCGGTGATCCTGTTGGTGTGTGCGGCCCTTTTTTGGGTGTCCTTCTGCTGCGCTGCACGCGACACTGCTCAGTGCTTAGTGCATCATCGGAGGAGGATGTGGAACCGTCTGTGGTGGCGTAAGAGCTGCTCGATGAGGTGCTCAACTTGCGCTTTCGTTTCGCCATGGGCGATGCATTGCGTAAACGTGGCTGGGCAGCCGCTTTGGTCATCAGCTTGGAACGGACAATAACTTGAGATTGCTTGGGCGCATTGGACAAACGACGGCGCATGGTAGGACTGGGCGAACGAGGGCGTTTGGGAGGACTGGGCGAACGACGGCGCATGGAAAGACTAGGGGAACGACGGCGCATGGAAAGACTAGGGGATCGACGGCGCATGGGACGAATGGGCGTTTGCCGGATCATGGGACGAATGGGCGCTTGACGGCGCATGGGGGGAGTGGGCGAATGATAACGATTCGCCGGATGACGCATTGCAGACCGATTTGGCGGACTTGGCGAACTGCGTGGACTAAACGACAAGTGCAGAGCAGCAGTCCGGTGGGCTGGACTGTGACTGGAACTGGAACTGAAGCAGCGTCGCGATTTTGTGCGACTGGAACTGCGCGAACGACGTCGCTGGGCGGTGGCCAGCGTTGCGGCAAAGTGTCGGGCATATCTGGGAGGCGACACACTGGGCGACGGGCATCTGGAGCGGGATCTCCTCAGGGTGACTGGTGGGGAGTGCGGTGTCTTGCGCTGGACTGGCGGCGAGTGCGGTGTCTTGCGCTGGACAGGCGATGAGCCCCCAGATCGCAGCAACTCCGGCTCCCTGGTGGGGGAGTCTGCGCGCACGCTTCGCCACGAGATCGAAGCGCCATCCGTTGTGGTGGTCTGGTGGGTGCCCAGCTCCTTCCGTGGGCGATTCTCTGCCACGCCAATGGGCAATGCCTTCATGAACAATGGCGTCGGCAGCAACGGGCCAATCCGCATGAGTGGCCTGTGCGGTGGGAAGTAGGCCAGATCTGCATCCAACTGCTCGTACGGGTGCATGCCCATCAAATAATTCACCGGAGCTAAAAGAATTCAAATGAAATTAACTAAGAGTTCCAGAACGAGTGTTTACCCACCTCTGAGGCCAGCCCGTGGCAGCTGTTTCTTCTCAAACATCTGATAGTAGTTGTGGCCCTTCTGTCCGTCCCCTTTGTCCGGCTTGTAGAATGAATCATCGCTGAGCACTTCACCCTCCTCGCAGTCGCTGGCCTGCAGTTGTTGTTGTTGCTGTTCTTCCTGGAGGAGCTGCATATCCGAATCTCTGCTCACTTCTCCTTCTTCCAGTGCCATGGCTGCGGCAGTGGAGAGTTCCTTCACCTGATTGAGCTCCTCCACAAGCCCATCGTTCATCACTTGTATGAAATCAATAGACTCGTACTCTTCCCTGTCCGGCATTTCCCGGGGATCTTTCGCTGTTGGCAACTGCTGGGAATCTTCGTATTTTAGCTGCACTTTCCCATCGCTGATGGCTTTATCTATCACAATATTGCACCCATTTATTTCCGTAGCTGAGGGCGCATTCTGCTGCTCATTATCCATCGTTGAATCATGGCATACGGAACTGTCTTTGGTATCTTCCGAACCGGAGCCAATGCCGCCCAATCTGACATCCTTCTGTGCATTTTTGGGCCACTGATTGAGATCCCTACATGCCGCCTGTTCGGGTTGTTCAATGGCCCTGAATTCCGGATCATTCTCGTGCCCCATCTCAGCTGCTGCACCATCCAACTGCTCCATTTTATAATAGCCTTCCGTTGTCTTTGGCACAGCAGTGCTCTCGGCACTTTCAGCAGCGAGCAGGTAAAGCACTTTGTCTATATTATCGCGCGATTCCTTCTTTTCTGGTGGCAGATCAACCGCAAAATATTCACATATTTCATGCGCATCTGTGTGCGAGACAATATGGAATATGCCGGGCTGCTTGCCTTTCTCCGTCTTGGAATCGACAGGCGCAGGCACCTTCAAATTTTGTTTCCCTAAAGCTTGGAAATTGTAAACCATATTTTTGTTCTTCTTCAATAAAAATAGCAAAATCTTACCTGTATCCGTCGATGTGAATAGTTTGCCATTTATTTCATGGTTCTTTTGATTTTCAGAGGACACACTTCGTTGTTTTTTTGTACTGTAAAAAAAAAAAATCTCAAAAAAGTCACTTGATCTGAATACAAAATAATGAAAACCATTTCCAGGGCATACATACACGCATTTAACAAACGAGTTCACAGATTTCAGAGACATATTTGTTCCTCTAAACTTTGCGCACTTCAAAACCCACAAATATACAATAATAAAATGTATTTTTATTCAATTATATTGCAGAAATTTTCGTTGTAAAAAGCAAAGCGAAGCTCCGTGCTGAGTTGCCAGACTGTTAGGGTTGGAAAATATGGCCACACGAATTTTGTGCAAAGTGAGTAAATTCCAAGATATTTTTATGCGTCACACAACATAATCAAATTACAATCAAATTCAATGTTGCTTATGCTAAAATATTTAAAACTATTTTAATTTACAAGAAATCAATTATGGCTGTATTTTAATGGCATACAAAATTTTTGTTTTTATATATCTAAATTTTATTAAGTTGGATGTGAAAACCTTTTAAAATCAGCAAACATTTTTTTTTTCTTTATTTATTTATTTTTTCGCTATTTTTTGGTTATTTATTTTTATAGTCATGTTTTCCTTTATTTTTATCTTCTATAAAAAAATATGATCCTTGATAACGTTTTTTCTACAAATTCTCTTCTACATACTGAAATTAATAACAAACAAATTTCAGAAAACTTTGCGCCATCTTGGCTAACGTTATATTTTAAATTTGTAATTACCCCGTTATTATTAACGAAACGCTAACGAAACGTAAACCTACATATGTACATCATAACATGCCTGCGCGAATTTATTTAAAAAATTAATTGGAAAATGCGCGCTTAGTATTTTTTATTAATACAAAAAACTTATGGAAAAATATACCCAATTCCCAATATAAAAAATATTTCATTGTTATTAAAAAAAAATAAAATGTTTCTATTTTTAATAACTTGGAAAAGAGCACTCAGTATTTCCCTTAGTACAACAAACCTATGGAAAATTATACCCAACTCCCAACATAAAAAATATTTTATAATTAATATTAATCAATAATATTTATGTTCACTCTTTTTGGGATTTATAGGAATTGGATTTCGTGGAATAACTATAAGGGCGTAAGGGCGTCACTGTAGAAATAATATTATTATGTAAATATTTTACTTAAATATATATTTAATAAATAAATATTATTAAATATATTTATTATTGTCAGAACTAGTGATTTTCTCCTTAGAACTGCGCGATAACTTAAGTCATTTCTCAAGAAATGTTTGCAATATTTCGACATCATTTCTGTAGCACTTCCTGCCCACACACCATTATCTCTCATCTCAAATGGAAGTCTTAACATTGTAAAATCAAATGACAGTGGCGCATAGCACACACACACACACACACACATTTAAATGCTTATTAAAATGAATGTTTCCAGATGAAAATTAGACAAAACACAACCCAAACCCCCAAAAAACACAAAAGTCCTGGCCCTGGTCAGAGTGGTTCCTGGGGGGGAGGTGAAACAAACGCTCGGAGCAACAGCATCAATTTCCACAAAATTGCGCCACTAAATTACCATAACGGTTTGGGGTATGGGGCGCCAGGCCACCAAAAGTAGATCCCCTGGCCGCCACATGCCCTGCCCACAAAACCAGCAGCGAGTAAAACCAAACGAAGACGAGCCAAAACTAACGGAAACATATTACGGCAACTTGAGAGAGAAAAAAAGGCGACAAGTGAGAGACGAAGACGAGCCATGGAGCATAGCACGTGGCATGGTGTGGCGATGGCTCCCAGACAAATGCCGAGGAATGCCCCCCTGCCCGCCACAAACAAAGGGGAAAAAAACACATCGCGGAAAAACGCAAACATCAGCGCAATGCGGCAATGGAGTTTTACCTGAAGCGCCACAGCAGATGGAATGAGCAGTGGCATAGTGGGGGGAAGGGTATGGGAGGGGGGGCATGTCCCACAGGACTTGTAAATAGCAACATGGCAAACAAGTTAAAAAGTTTTCCTCCGCTTGTTCTTTGGCATTTCTTTATGCCACACGGATGCCTTTTGCCTTGCCACCGGGCGTCGCGGCCAAAAACATAATCGTTTCTCATTTCAATGCTGCCCCAGATCCACCTCCCTCCTACTTCTCCTCCTTCTCCTCCACCTCCTCCTGTTACGGGGTTCGGTGTTGGCCCCGCAATTTAGTTTTGAGCGTAATTTCTTTTAATAGCGCCAGTCGACAGATAAAATTCAGCAAACCCAAAGAAGATGTCCTGTCCCTGACACCTGACATTGCGCCCAGTACTAGCTACAGGTCAAAGGAGGACCAGGGTGGGGGAGGGGCAGTGGCAGTGGCAGGGCCGGATATCGCAAGTAAATTGCTTAATTTTGGGCATGTCTCCGAGGTCTGTGGGTCTGGGTTTGGGTTTGGGTTTGGGTTTGGGTCTGGGGTTTTTTGTTTTGTTTTATTGGAAGGCAGGACAGGACTCTCGGGAGTCAGGGCAGGGCTGGGCAGGGCAGGTTGACGTTTTCCGTGCCATGACGATTTCATTTGCATTTTATGATAATTGAACTTCATAAATATGTCACGCGGCAGCATCTTAAAAGTGCCAGAAGGCCACAAGCTAAGCGGTACCACCCGGAATGGTGTACAGCCTCTGCTGTGTGTGTGTGTGTGTGTGTGTGTGTGTTTGTGTGGCATGTGCTTCATAATTATTTTGAAGTGTTGCCATTAATTTGAAATACTTATGGCCGTGTGGGTGGGTGGCTGCACGATAAACTGCTAAACAAGACTGCATAACGATGCTAACAATTTAAATATGTTAAATAAAAGTATATAATATGTACAAGGGGGGCGGGCAGGCGGGCAGGCATCGTTACGTTGCTTGACACTGCTCCAGCGGTGGTGGTGGTGGTTGCCCTCAGAGCTTAACTAAGATTCAAATAAAGGCTTTTGAGGTGGGCAAAAAAGGTTGCTCTAGTTGCTCCTGGGGGCGCTGCAAATCGCAGCTAATTTCCGACTCACTTCAGTCAAGTATCTCGTGCCACAAATGCCACTTCAACACTGAGATTGCCATACAATAATTCACCTGAGCACAACTCTTTGGCTTTGTCGTAGGGGGAAATATTTAACGCCTCATTAGAATCCGGACAGCACAGCAATTCAACAAAGCAACGGCAAAGCATCCATCCATCTTGAGGCAGCACAGCAGTAGGCTAGAGTGCCAGGCAGTCAGGCAGGCAGGGATCATGAATAAACTCTGGCATAAACAGCATGGATATATGGCCAGAGCAGTAACAGCGGCAATGAATATTAATGAGATGTCATCAGTCTTTCGTCAAATTAAAACGCACAGCGCACAGCGGCCCAGAACGAACGTTGAGACCTGGAAGACCTGGTGGAGCTGTCAGCAGCAGAAGCCAACAGACGGCAGAGACATCTCTCTCTCTCTCTCACTCACTCACTCTCCCCTTGAGTGCTTGGGTGCTGTGCCTGTGCCTGTGGCCGTGGCCGTGCCCGTGTTGTGTGCACATCCTGCGGTAACTTTTCTAATTGTTGCCAACACAACGCGAATAAATCAGGCAGCCAGAAAAGTGCCTGAAACTAGCTCTTACACTTCCACATCCACATCCACATCCACTGCGAGCTGTGTGAGAGAGTGGAATTTCAGCAATTTGTTTTCCCCAGTAGTTGAGTATCAGACGCCTTCGGTGGTGTTCGGTGGTTCGGGCTAGTCAAGTCAAGAAGTCTCACAGCTTAACCCTTTTCGAATCTGGGTTCTGGGTTCTGGGTTCTGTGGGACGGGCAACGACGCGTCGTCAGCAGTCAGCATCATCGTCACACGTCAGCGCACTATCATCACGCTTGTTTACACGCATAATTATGTGCGCCAGGGATTCCGCACAGGATACTTGCGGCTTTTTGTGGGCGGTGGGGGAGGACTGCCACTGCCTCAGTCTCAGCCTCAGCCTCAGCAAAACGATTTAATGCCTCGTGACAGATTTCTCACTTGAACTTAAGATGACGGGGCGGTGTCACAATTTCAGTCTGATAATATGTTAATGAGGTTTGTTTATTTGATTTATATTCCCCTTGTCAGGCGCAAAAGGTGTCGAAGCCCCAGGGGCAGGCACACACAGGCGAGGGGCGTCCACGTCATCCTTCATTCGTTGCGGTTGTGCCCCTTGGTGGCCCACCCGGTGCCGTCAGGCTCTTCATTCAAATCACAGTCAAGTGGAAGTTAATCGCTTGCCCGGGAACAGATTTTCCCACTCACTCACAATTGTGTGTATACATTTTTTCACTCAATGATAAATGATCGCGGAGCAACTGAATGGCTGAAATGAAAGCTTAAATGTTACACAAATTGAACTGCAATTACTTGGCGACACTTTGCATATTATTATTATATTTTTATTATAATTATTATTGTGTCTCGATCTCCCATTGTGAAACTCTGTTGATGGGCATTTTGTGTCAGTGTCAGTGTTGATTTTGAATTTGTATTTGTATTTGTTGTGCCTTCAGCGGCCGCATCCAGTGGAAGAACTGCTTAGAAGAACTTGCGCATAATTTTGGGCACAAAGCGGATCAGGGCACAGGTCACAGCGAATAAAAATATGTTGGCTTGTACCTCCCTTTTGGCACGTTCCTCGAGCACACGCGCATCGGGTGGCCAAGAGCGCATCATTTTTGATTGAAGAGCTAGCTGCACAATATTTAAATTTAAGTCAACTGTTCATTAATAAATTGTTTACTTGAACTTACGTTTGTAATTTTATTCCAATTAAATTCTAATTGAGTTTTTTGTTTTCGTTTGCTGTACGACTGTTCAAGAAAGTTGTGAGAGAAAATGCTATGAAACAATTTTGATGTGACACATGAAACAGGGCTGTGTGTTGAACCAGGGTTACAGGCTACTAGGGCCACAAAAGTGCCAAAACAAAGTGTTTGGTAATTGTTAACAACATCTTAAATCTAGGGCTTATTTAATAAACTATATATATTCTACTTAAGAAATTTGCAACGGCTCCTTTAATTCCATAAACAGAATTTAGATTCAGCTGGGCACTCTCTACTGGTTGCTGCTTGTTCCGAGAGTTTCTCGTAGCACTCTTAGAAATAGAACAAGATAAATCCATTATTAAGTTCGAATTACAACTAAAGCAATATTAATTAAATCCATGCGTACAAATTAAAGTGGGTAAAAACATAAAAATCCATTCAAAGGAATAAGAAAAGGAACAAGTCTTCAGACCCTCACTCCAGGGTCGCTACGGTCAAAAAGTATCGCAAGTAGATCGATCACCTAGGGAAAATTGTCATTTAAAAGGGCTTCGAGCTCAACATCCTTCAACATATTATTGCGTCCACTCTCTGGATGCACGATCCGAATGTAACGAACAGGCCTGCGCTTGAACCTGATAAGGTCAGGCAAATAAACCCCGGCTGCACATGTAAATTTTCCCACGCAAACCCAGCGTGCATTGTCGCAAGAGATCTCCACGGTGCAGTTTAACGGGATTGATGGGCAACTTTTAATTAATATAATATTAATAATGCACCAGAAGCTCAACTTGATTACGGTCTCATTATTGTTCACTATCAAACGTTTCGCATACCATTCTTCTGAGGCCTCATTTAAACCTGACAACACGTGGGCACGATAGGGCAGGTTCTCCAGCTTAATCGCCTTATCGATGACGTCGCATATTGTGCTCGGGTCAACGAATCCAGATTGACGAACAGCACCCAACAAGTCTTCAACATCAATGAGAGGGAGACGTACAAGCGACAGCAACGACTTGATATCCACGCTCGGATTGTGGCGACTCCATCTGCATACCGCTCGAAAGATTTCCAGTTCCTCAGCAATGAAAGTGTCCCGTGGCAGCAGTTCTTCAAGTATTTCCTCAGACTGCATTAGGAAGGAATCGTCGTTTAACATTGAGCCCCCATTAAAGTCAATGACTTTTAGGCATTTCCTGGTCAGCTCTTCGAGATTGTAGAGGCGTGCTGCTTCCAGGATCTTGAATGCGTTGCTGATGGCCAGATTCTCAAAGAGATGTTTGGCTAGTGGCGTCTCGACCTCCAGACAGCCATACTGATTGGCCAAACCGAGCACCTTTAAGGAGGCATCCACGTCCAGAGTGGATATGGGCAGAGTGCCCGAGTAAAGGTAGCCCAGGATAATCTTAAATGCCTCCAGCGACACCTCTGGGAGCCGAATCACGCTTTTCTCTGACTCGGACATCCCGCCGTAGAGCAGGGCGCGGAAGTACTCACTGCGCGCGGCTAGAATCAAGCGGTGTGCCGGCAGGTGCTGATCCTCCACAACGAGCTCCACGTCCGAGTAGAGCTTGTTCATGCAGAGGCTGTTCAGGGTCGCCAAAACGCCCTCGCCGAAGGTGTGGACCGGCACTTGCTCCGGCTCGTGGCTGGGGGATCGCATAGCGTCGATGGAGGGTGAAGAGCTACCTTGGGTTGCCTGTGTGCTCATTTTCGCTGTTCGATTTCCCTGTATGTGGACAGATGGGTGTTTTGATTTTGTTTGCATTCCGTATAGTCTATAAAACTCACTTTTTTTGTTCTCTTCAGCAATTTAATTTTTTGTCAAGCTGCAAGCACTTTTCTAACGAGGGAAGTTGGCTGTGGCTAAAAAATATCGATTGATCGTATCGATACATTGAATAGACTGCGATAGTGTGGGCAAATTAATAAATATTAATTGTGTTTTAATCACTTACTATTCCGTTATAATTGCTGCTCTTTGCATTTAAGTTTACCCAATAAACTATTGCTTTTATTTTTATTTAATGTAATAAATAAGATCGATAAAATATTATCCACCAGAAAGCCCCATCCCTATGGGGCAACATATGTTTTTTTTTTAATATTTTATTCAGTATTATATTAGGAGAAAATCTGCATCTCGAGTGCAGAACAAGTTGCTGGTGAGAGGGTGTGATCATTCGAAGTTGCTCTTTTGGCTGAGGCCTAAGTCAAATACCATGTTTTGCGGCCATTAGTCCGGGCAGATTCCGATGCACATTATTTCTGGGCAATGGCACGTGTTTGGACCGCAAACAGATGAATTCCTGCAGCAGTAGAACACACAGGAGAGGGAGTTTGCTGCAGGGACAACGAATTATGGGGCAGCAGGCAGAGGCAGCGGCCACTCAGAGAGCAGTTGCGCATTTCGCCGGGGGGTACGGGTACGTCTGGGACTGAGGCTCGGCTCCAAAGCAAAACTGCAATTCGTCCTCGGGGTCTTTTTTGTGTTAATAATAAATAAACGGGCCGTGCCAGCGCTCCGCCCGTAGACGGGTGCCCGTGGCCCCAGGCTGCTGCTGCTGCTGTTGCTTCTGCTTCTGCTTGTGTTTTGGACACACCGGAGCGCATTTTAATGGACGAATGCAGGCGGCAGTGCAGACCCATAACCCAGGCCCAGGGCCAGGCCCAGTCCCATGCCCAGAACCGGAATATGAGTCCCGCGACGGGGAGGGCAGTCGGAGCACAGCACACCTTTTCCCGGGGTGCATGTGTGACACCCGTAGACGCCCATGGCCGTACCGTAACGTACCCCTCTGTGGCCAGGACTCTCGCTCGCTCTCACTCGCTCTCACTCTCTCTCTCGCTCTCTCTGTCTCGCTTGAATTACGGCATTTGCTCGTCCATCTTTTGATTTAGCACCGACATAAAAATGATTTATCAGTGACATTAAAATAATGCACACTGTGGCGCATTTTATGTGCGAATGGATTTTCGCGCCTTTTTGTTCTCGTTGCGAGTCGGTCGGTTCGGTCCTCTGCAGCAGCAGCAGCAGCTCCTGCTCCTGCTCCTGCCTCTGCCACTCGTTGCTGCACATCGCACATTTACCCCTAGACCTAGAGAGCCATAGAAAGCTTTCATACACAACCAACACCCTGCTGCATCCACACTCATAGTTGGCCCTCTCAAACAGATGCCCGTCCGTCCGCTCGTCCGCTCGTTGGGTCTGTGTCAGTCTTTGTATGCTGCCGTCAGCCGAATGTTTTACGGCCGAGGTGTTTGTGACTGAGTCTCCTCCGTGTTGCCAGAGTGGGTTCCTTTGGGGGTTGGGCGTTTGAGAGTGCACCTATCCGAGCAGCTAGCCTCTGCTCCTGCCCTGCCCTGCCCTGCCCAGCCCTGCTGCTGGAGCATCATAAATGTAAACTTTTATGCGATTATCGCGCTCTCTTTCTAGCGGCCAGGCCAGTACGCGGAAGCTGCACTGTGGAAAGTTTTTGGAAGATCTAAAAAGATAATGGGCTGGCCAATCAATAAGAGAAAGTGATCTTGTAGAGCTGAAAGTTTATTGAACTACAAATATGATTATAGGAGAAATTTTCGAATCATTTTCGTAGCTCGTTTGAGAGTCAACTGCGAGACTCGTTGGTTTTGTTGAGCTTAGAGTTGGAATCGGTTGGGAAATTCTCGGAATTAAATAGTTTTTCTGTCGTTAAGGCACTCGGAAAAAACCAGAAGCTCACATTATTATTTAGGCATTCAATTTCATCTGATATTTAGAATACGATCTCTTTAAAGTTTAAATCATTAAGATCGACATTCTTCATTGTTTTTTATTTTTTTTTATATATTCAGGCTGTTTTCAGTAGAGTTTGCACAGAATGAAGAGTCTTCTTAGTGTATTATTTTAACTTACAAGCAAAAGGAGAGAGAGAGAGCGAGCGATCTTAGTCAGAGAGCGCTAACAGTGCGCTGTGAACGGCAGCGTTAGGCGACTGTTAGCCAGTGGAGTGTTAACAGCGCCTGTTAACCAGTGAAGTGTTAACAGCGCCAGTTAACCAGTGAAGTGTTAGCAGCGCCTGTTAACCAGTGGAGTGTCTGCAACGCCTGTTAACCAGTCGAGTGTTAGCAGCGCCGTTAACCAGTGGAGTGTTAGCAGCGCCTGTTAGCCAGTGGAGTGTTAGCAGCGCCTGTTAACCAGTAAAGTGTTAACAGCGCCTGTTGCTCTGTTACGGGCTTACATTTTTCTACTTTCTTTGTTTAATTCTCCTACAAAAAGCTGCCTTTCATGTATATTTTCTTTCAGTGTACTTTCTGTGCTATTTGAAATGTGCCATAATTTGCACCCAGATGTGTGACACAGCAGCAGCAGCAGCAGCAGCAGGCAGTGCACGAGAGACGGCTGGCTGGCTATCAACTGGAACGCGGCTAGGATGTGCCACCATGCCACACACACACACACACACACACACACATTCAGAATGGACGACAACATATGCCCCCGTGTGGAGCCTGGAACTCATTAGAGCGGGTGTCCCTCTGCCTGGCAGAGTCCCCCCTCTCCCTTACCCTATTTACCCTATGTGTGTGTGTGTGTGGGGGGGGGGGTTTAATGAGGACACAACATGAGAAGCCATGGAGATGGCGCAGGCGCTGCAGGCCAGCAGGACACTAGATAGGACATGGACATGTGCATGCACATCTGCAGACGTCGCTGATTGCCTGGGCTCCCAATCTCAGTGGCCATGCCATTCCCCCATTACCCCATGCCCGAGATCGAGACCGAGACCAGTTGGCAGCGTCAGCATAATTTCCTGATGCTAAATGCCAAACGCAGGACGAACAGGACGAAGCAACGAGCCCAGCCGAGCACTTAAGCCCATCCGCCGCCGTTTGCCATTCGACGACTCTCGACTGACCGACTGCCACCGCACGGGCCAAAGCTGGGCAGCGGGAAAGTAGATTGGGATTGGGCCAGGGATTGGGAGTCGTCCCCGAATGGGGACATGGACAGGGACACTATGTGGGGGGGCAGAGGAACAGAGTGATAGCCTGCCTGCCTGCCTGCCTGCCTGCCTGCCTGCCTGCCTGCCTGCCGTAGTTGTAGTTGTGGCTCTGTGTCATTGTC